ATACAACCACTTTGGAAATCAATTTGGCTCTTTCTCGGACAATTAGAAATAGTGTTTTCCCAAATTCCAGCTGTACCACTCCTAGGCATATATCCAAAAATGTTCAAGGACTTTTGCTCAACCATGTTTGTAGCTGTTTTATTTGTAATAGCCAGATCCTGAAAACAACCCTGATGTCCCTCAATGGAGGAATGGATACAGAAATTGTGGTAATTTTACACAATGGAATACTCAGCAAATAAAAAGAAGGAAATCATGAACTTTGCAGGCAAATGGTGGGATCTAGAAAAGACCATCCTGAGTGAGGTAACCCAGAAACAGAAAGGCACACATGGTATGTACTCATTTATAAGTGGATACTAGACCTATAAGATAGGATAAACATACTAAAATATGTACATATAAAGAAGATCAGGGTAAAATGATCAATCTTTACTTAGAAAGACAAATGGGATGGACATTGGAAATAGGAGAAAACAAGAAACAGAACAGGAGCATACCACAGAGAGACTCTGAAAGACTCTACCTAACAGTGTATCAAAACAAATGCTGTGACTCATAAAAAAACCTTGGGCAGAGTGCAGGGAATCATATGAAAGAAGGGGGAGTTCGTATGACCTGGAGAGGACAGGAGCTCCACAAGGACCATATATATCTGGGCACAGGGGTCTTTTCTGAGACTGTTTCTCCAACCAAGGACCATGAATGGATATAACCTAGAACCTCTGCCCAGATGTAGCCCATCACAGCTCAGTATCCAAGTGGGTTCCCTAGTTAGGGAAACAGGGACTGTCTCCAACATGAACTCAATGGCTGGCTCTTTGACCTCCCCCACCCCGAGGGAGGAGAAGCCTTGCTAGGCCAAAGTGGAGGACATTGTAGCCAGTCCTGAAGAGACCTGATAAGCTAGGATCAGATGGATGGGGAGGAGGATCTCCCCCATCAGTGGGCTTAGAGAGAGGCAGAAAGAAGATGAGGGAGGAAGGGTGGGATTGGGAGAGAATAAGGGAGGGGCTACAGCTGGGATACAAAGTAAATAACTGTAATTAATATAAAAATAATAAATATTTAATTAAAGAAAGATTTTCCATGGATGTTCTATAAATTCTAAGTAGGATATCCTACCCTTTGGGTATATATGAAGGAATGATATATACCCAAGATACTGGAGATATCTTTCTTTATTTAAGAGAGCTTCCACACTAATCTTCATAGTGACTACACCAGTTTGTGGTCCCCATTACTTACATATATGCCAATATTTGTTGTCATTTATGGTATTACAGAAGATGAAATCTTAAAGATCTTTTAATTGCATAAGAGGATTGGGGGCAGGTGTGGTTGGAAACAGGGGGCTCCAGGATAGGTGTGTGTTAAGAGGAAGAAAATACTGAAAGAAACAATTTGAATTGTGTTATATATCTGAGGCAAGTAAGCAACCTCTTGCAATAATTGCTAAGGAGACCGAATACATTTAAAATATTTCTCAGTCATTTGTTTTTCATCTTCTCTAAATTTTCAGTTTACTTTCATGTGTTTTTATATTGAGTTGCTGTTTTATCTAGAGCCAACTCATCCTTTCTTAATACGGTGTTCAGATATCTATTTCCTGTTATCAAAACATGTCGGGGTTTGGATCAGGTGAAAATTTTTGTGATACAGTCTTGAGGTTACTCACTATTGATGTGTGAATGTGTTAGCTCCAGTGTTTTATATGGTTTGATACAGCTTCTAAAGACAAGAATAAACACTTTCAGGAGTTGGATGGTTCTCGTTGTTCACCCTCATAAACTTTCTGACTTCAGAAGTCCGTGAAATGAGGCACACTTCTTTGGTGGATTAAGGTGGTAAAGGATTGTGCTAAAATAGGTTGGGGTGCTGCTACATGTGGGATATCATTAGTGTTCCATAATTTTGTCAGTTGTTGCAAATTGTGTCAGAATATGAATGATGGTTTGGCCCTGGGCAGGTGAATAGAAATAACTTGGTTCTTCATAGGATGGAAGGATCTTAGGTTAGTAACTGAATACCATGATTGAAATCTGTAGATCAAAAAGAAGCAAAAGAACAAAGAGAAATCGTTCAAAGGAAAAACAAAAATGAAACTAATAAAATAGAAACAAAGGGAATAATACAAAAAAAATCAGTGAAACAAAAAGCCAGTTCTGGAGAACATCAGCATGATAAACAAAATTTTATCGAAACTGACTAAAAGACAGATAGAATATCCAAATTAACAAAATAAAAAAAAAACAGAAGAAGAAGGGGCATGTAACAACAGAACCTGGTATAACAGACCCCAAAGTATCATTAGGTTATACTTCAAGTGTGGTATTCAAAAACAAGTAATAATTATAATCTAAATGAAATGGACAATTTAATTTATAGATGACATTTACCAACCTTAAATCAAGATTGTATAAACAATTTAAATGAATCTATAACCCATAATGAAATAGAAGCAGCCTTAAAAGTCTCCCAACCAGAAAGAGCTCAGAGACAGATGGTTTTAGAAGACAATTCTACAAGACCTAAAAGAATGGCTTGGTTTCACAGCTTTGCCTGTTTTTAAATAAATTTGTACCAGAACTTTCTGTCACTTAGCACGTGTATAATCAGACTGGAAATGGGACAGAATTGTAAATTGTATTGAAAATAGCATGCAAATAAAAATCAACAAGTGTAAAAGCCCCAAAAAATATCTGTACTTCTGCTTTTGCTTGATTTTTACATTTTATATAATAAAAATGTTATTGTGATAAAGATTATGCTGACTCAAATGGAGTATAAAACCAACAAAGAATAGCTAATACCAATACTTCTCCAAATATTCCACAAAACAGAAACTGAAGGAAAACTGCAAAACTAATTTTATGAGGGCACAGTCACACTGATATCTAAGCCACACAAAACTGCAACACAGAAAAATTATCACAGACCAATTTCCTTCATGTACACTGAAGGAAAATACTCAATAAAATACTTGCAAACAGATCATCCATCATGATCATATTAGCTGCATTCATACATAATTCAACATCTAAATATGTCATGTGTTATTTACATTTTATTGGTATTGCTATGAAAAATGAGGCACAAATATATAAATAGGTATACAAATATAACTAACTTAATTCACTGTTTAGACGTTAGCATTTCTTTTTTATGACTGGGAAAACCTCAGCATTCAGCAAAAGTGGGGATAGGGAAGATATACATCCAATACATTGCCGGAAACATCAGAGAGGAGGTTACAACAAGATGGGGAAATTTATCATATGGGCCATGATGCTATCTGAAGTCATTCTTAGCATTGGCAACAGCCAGTGGTGTGCTTTGTTACTACATTCTAAAATGACTGTATTCAGTAGCTAAAAGTCAGCTCAACTGCAGAGATGTCCAAGAAATGGCTATTCAGGGTGCTACAGTTAGCCTGAACTATGGAAATGAGCAACTAGAACTACAACATTCCAATCACTCCACATCGAGGAAGTTTTTATAGCCAATCTTTGCAGACACAGCTCTTTCCAGGAGTTCTCATTTACACATCTGTGCATTCACACAGTTGAATATTTGATATTGAGGAATTCCTGGGGAAGACTAATCCTCCCTCTCTCAATGGTTGCTAATTGTGTGGTTTTGAACAATAGATTTCTCCTAACCCAGCATCTAGCCATAGACCTCAGATATAGGGCAACCAAATAGAACTTCTTTTTGGTTATGTCAGTAATGAAAGCAGAATCTTTCTTTCAGTAGAACCAAGTGGACTTAATGCTAGTGATTTCTCTTACTTGGCATGTAGTGGGGTCAGGCAGGCTTTAATCTACCACTGGTTTGGAAAGAAGCACCTGAAGACCCATGGCCAAACATGGAAAGCTATGAGTGAGACAGTTCAGCTCAACTACCTGCACCAAAATTCCATTTCCTCCCATAACAAGTAATTGTTTTTACTGCCTTATGGGACTTATGTTTTTCTCTTTTTCTTATGCTAGTTTAGCTTACTCTTTTATTTCACTCCTTTACCTTATCCAGGAAACTCTAGTCAATGATTTAGTCCAAAGGGTTATAGAAACACTTTTCCTTTAGTTGCTAATTTTTACATTTTCATAAAAATTTTGCATTTTTATTTTGTGTTTATTAGTGATTTCCTACATGTTTGTGTTTGTACCACAGGTATGGTTGGTGCCTTCAGAGAGGAGAGGAGGACATGGGACCCCTAGAACTGGTGTTAAATATTATGGTAACCCCAAAAGTGCCTACTGTGACTGAATCAGAATCCTCCACAAGAGCAGCAAGTACTCATAGCATTTCAGTCATTTCTGAAGTCCCCAAATGCTATTTTACACAGGTGTATTTATTTTTATTTCATGTACTTGAGTGCTTGCCTTCTTGTGTGAATACAACATGTGTGCATGGTGCTCTTAAATTCCAAAAGGGACCTCATGACCTAGAGCTACAGATGGTTCCAGGACATCCTGTGGGCACTGAGACTGATGCTCTTCTTTGTACAAAAGGGGTCAGTGTGCGTAGATGCCTGGATGTCTTATCCATCCTTCAATACAACACTTTAATACTAAAAGTGCATACAAAGTTGTTAGAATTTTTGTAAATGAGTATGAAAATGAGTAATTGCAAAACAAAAGGATATGGAGCTCTTATTCACATTCCTAGTGAACACCTTAGTGACTCTTCTGTATTCCAATGTTTCCATAAAGAGAAACACCATAAACACCTATATAGTCAGCAGTCATAGGACATAAAAAAGTGATACTTTATCCACAAAATCTTAAGTAAGGAAACCATTATTAGTTATAGTTCAATTTCTGAGAGTTTAGGTGCTATTCCATGATGTTCCTGATTCATCGGGAGCTTATTCACAAAAGCTGTACATGTCACAGTAAAAGTCAAGGCTTAACACTTCTAGGTTCCTGGATTTGATAAAGAGCTTCTGACAAAATGGACTGACAACACTCATCATTATTTTCTTCTGGTTTAGTCAGAAATGGAGAAACTATCTATATTTGCTAACCTTATACTTTGCCATTGATCAGATCAATAAGGACTCACAACTGCTTCCCAATGTGACCTTAGGTTTCCATGTCTACAATGCCTTTAATTCTAACAAAAGAACCCTGGAGGGCCCTCTGATGTCATTGTCTGGAAGAAGTGAGTTCCTAACTACAAATGCAAAACACAACACAAAGCTCTAGGAATCATTTCAGGAAACACATCAGAATTTTCTGCTGCAATTAGAACACTTTCAGAGCTCTACAAAGTCCCACAAGTAAGTTAGGAAAGTATTTTTTTGTGCAAAATCACATGTCAAACCTGAATAAAACAAAACAAATGAAAGAAAACAAAGAAGTGTTTTATGTTTAGTATAGGCAGATTTAAAAGAGCAGTGAATGTATTACTTTGATAGGTCAATGGTTAACAGTAGAAAGAGTGTGGTAAAAGTCATGCTCAGTACATTCTGAAAATTTCTAAGCAGATCACTTAGTGGAAACCATGACTCTATTGTCAAACACTGAAAGATGTACTGTGGATACTCAGGCTGCATTTTATCATAAGTCAAATTGTACAACAATGATACCTAAGTACCAAAAAAAGCATATAACAATCTCAGATTTCCTGCAATTGTCAATACTGACATATGAAAAAAGAAAGTCTGCGACATGTAACTAAATTTAGAACAATCTTCAAGGTCATCACTGATGACAATCTTTCAAGGAATTAACGATCTCATTCAGAAAAGTAGATCTCAACCACTTAAATAGATTGCCACAATTGACTCTTTCCAGGCTACATTGAAGAAAGGCATCCATTAGCAGGCATTATGACAAACAGAGAAAATACTGTGTGAGCACAAGTGTCAGGAATAATCAAGATTATAAAACCCACAGTGTAACCCTGATTGTTATCACTCAGTTAAACAATTCGTAAATGTATTTTATCCTAATATAACAAAAAAAATGAAACACACAATAATTTACATCTGTTTCAGAGTTTTGTCTCAGTCAAATTAGACAGGGATGATGCAATAACCCCTGGCAATGTGATTTCAGATCTTCACAACTTGCACCATTTTAACTTAGGTAAATGAATCTCTAAAAACTTTGTTAGTCTCTTTCTGTATTTGCTTTCCTAAAGCTGATGGTTCTGGGAAATATGGTGTTATGTGACCAGAAAGTACTTAGTAATGCTTTCTGCAGTCTTTCACTACATCAGATGCTCTGTTGCATTGTTATTGCAACAAGGGAGATCTATCAGGTCTTTCAAAGACAGTGAACAGAATATTGTTTACTTCAGATATCTTAGTAACATTGGAGGTCATGGTACTTGAAAAAAAAGACATATTCCATCATGTGATCAGAGAGACAAGCTAATCTCAGAGAAGACATCCTCCTCACCAATACTCAGTCCTTTGATTCTCATATGCAAAGAATGAACTCACTTCCTCCCGACAGGTGATGATTCCAAATACATAAAACTTAGAATCACCCTTTTTTTCCCTTTGCTTCTTCAGGTCACATATGGTCCCTTTGATTCCATGCTAAGTGACAAAGATACATTCCCAACCCTTTATCAGATGTCTCCTAAGGACAGAGCTCTAACCCAAGGGTTGATCTCTTTATTGCTCCACTTTGGCTGGAAGTGGCTGGGGGTCATTGTGTCTGATGATGGGAGAGGAAGGGAGTTTCTCTCAGACCTGACAGTAAAGATTGGATCAGAAGATATCTGTTTTTTACAGAAAAACTGTCTGATAACTCAAAATTTAGAATACTATATGATTATGGATTGCTGAACTTGTACCAACATATACAAGTAAATGTGATTTTATTCTATGGTAATATAGATGACTTGGTGATCTCCCTCCCATACATTAATTTTTTTTTAACAAGAAAGGTGTGGATCATGGCAAAGCAACACCTGACATTTTTAGAGTCTACATTCAATGACAGTAATTTTTGGATATATGTTTTCAGAGGAAGCTTCTCATTTTCAAAGAGGAGAAGTATCCCTGGCTTCAAGCAATTTCTTGAAGCACTTACACCCTCCCAGTACCCAGGAGAGTCTTACTTCTCTAAATTCTTGGTTGACAGTTTTGATTGTTCACCTCTTGGTTTTCTATGTGAAAAATTTAAACCCTGTCCAGCGAATATTTCCCTAAAGACTGGGGATGAAATAAATGATGTGATGACTACTTCTGAGCCCAGCTATTCCATACGGAATGCAGTATATGCAGTGGCCCATGCCCTCCATAAAATGCTGTTGACCAAAATGGAAATGGGACCTATGGATGACAGAAAAAAGGGTGAGATTCTACCATGGCAGGTAAGCCTCATTCATAAGCAACATAATCACCAGGATCATATATTATTGGTAAGCTTTTTACTGTGGTTAACCAAGAAAGCATTTTCTTCTTATAATTAAAAGAATATTTTAAAATGCAAAAGGGTTTGTCATAGTATATCTATGTATGTCTATAATTATCTGAGACGATTTTGGAACTCAAAGCACAGATTTGAAGACATTAAATTAAAATGTGTTTCAACAAATGTTTCCTAACCTAACATGAAATTCTGAAATATAAATATGCGATTAATGTCAAAATATAGCAAGTTCAATAATCAAAATTTATATTTTCTTGGAATATACACATTGAAATAAGCTTTAGACATAATGACCATATCCAAAGATGCTATTTCACATAAAATTCAATCTATATTTAATGACAAAAGACCATAAAATTAATAGCCTGTGCAAGTGACATAAGTAACTGAAAAGTAATGGATTTTATAATTTCTTCATTCTTAATTACTTAAAATGAAGGAAAAACCTTGACTGTGCTTCTATTATTAAATGTTAGAACACAGTGCTCAGAAGCTTAGGCACTATCTCTGTGTATTAGTGATAAATGGATGTGTTTGGGTTTTAAACCAACAAGATATAAACATGGGATTCATTTATATATATGAGCCTTGATGGTCACATTCAAATAGGGTGCCATGAAGAAGTTTGTTGAACAAGTCAATTGAACTTTAAATCCATTCAAAAATAAATAAAAATGAATTCTGAACATAGAGTGTAATTGGAGTATCATGTAAAACAATGATATTTGGCATAAACACTGACACAGTTTGTGAACACAGCTTTCCAGAGATGTGATATTATCTAAGTTAGTATGTCCTGTGTACAAATAACTTAGCACCTAAGCAACCTTTATACCACACACTGTTAAATAGGTAACACAATATCGTGTCTCAGTAGCTGAACTGTTTACCCACTGTATTAAGTTAGATATGTAATTGAATCGTGCTGGAGGATGACTCAGTGTTACACGTACTTGCTGCCCATGCAGAGGACCCAAGTGTGGCTGTTATCACATACATGGTTGCTCACAACTTACTAAGGTACAACTGCTCAACTTACTAAGGAACCCACATGAAGATCCAACATCCCATCATTTACATATATGTATTGAACCTAGTTCCACTCCATGTATGAAGCCCCCATGGATCTAGGTCAGTTTATTCTGTATTCTTGCAGCATTATAGTCCACTTGGGCTCCTTATATCCTTTCCAACCACTCTTTCCATGAGACTCTTCAAGCTTTGTGTGATGCCGGGCTGTGAGTCTCAGCATGTGATTTGATTAACTGCTGAGGGTGAGGGGGTTCTGTTAAGTTAGGCTCCTGTCGGTAAACATAGGACATATCATTAATGGTGTCAAGGATTATCTCTCTCTCATGGGGTGGGTGTCAGGTTGGGACAGGTATTGATTGTTCATTCCATCAGACCCCACTGTATCTTTGTCTTTGTCCACCACGTAGTTAGGATAAATTTTGTTTGGAAGGTATTTTAGGTAGATTGGCATTTCCCTCCCACCGCTACATGTCCAACCTGGCTGGATGGGGGTTTTCTACACTCTCCTTTCCCTCTCTGCTGGCAAGCTCAGCTACAGACATCCCCATATCCTCCCTGTACTATAGCCTGTCCCATCTCTACAGTTTGTCTCAGTGATACCCCCAACCTTCTTCCACCCTTTGTCTCCAGGCCCTTAAACCTTGCCTCTCAACTCTCCTCACATCTACTCTCCCTCATCTCACTCCACACAACCTCTCCTCCTATCCAGTTCCCTCTCTACTTCATATTCCACTGTCTATTTAATTTTCCCATCTGAGTGAGATTTAAGAAGGGCCTACCCCGAGCCCTCCTTGTTACTTAGTTTCTTTGGTTCCATGATTAGTAGTGTAGCTATCCTGTGATATATGGCTAATATCCACTTATAAGGGAATACATACCATATGTGTCTTTCTGGCCATGGGTTACCTCACTCAGGATGATCTTTCCTTTTTCCATCCAATTGCATGCAAATTTCATGATTCCTTTGTATTTAATAGCTGAGTAGTATTACATTGTGTAAATGTACCATATTCTCTTTACCTATTCTTTGGTAGAGGGACAGCTAGGTTGTTCCCAGATTATTGCTATTGCAAATAAAGCTTAATGTACATAGTTGAACAAATGTCCTTGTTTGGTGAAGCATCTTTCTT